TTGTTTATGCTACAGGACGTGCTATCATACACGCGTTGTTTATGCTACAGTATGTGCTATCATACACACGTTGTTTATGCTACAGGACGTGCTATCATACACACGTTGTTTATGCTACAGGACGTGCTATCATACACACGTTGTTTATGCTACAATACGTGCTATCATACACACGTTGTTTATGCTATAGGACGTGCTATCATACACACGTTGTTTATGCTGCAGGACGTGCTATCATACACACGTTGTTTATGCTACAATACGTGCTATCATACACTCGTTGTTTATGCTGCAGGACGTGCTATCATACACGCGTTGTTTATGCTGCAGGACGTGCTATCATACACACGTCGTTTATGCTACAATACGTGCTATCATGCACACGTTGTGTATGCTACAATACGTGCTATCATACACGCGTTGTTTATGCTACAATACGTGCTATCATACACACGTTGTTTATGCTACAGGACGTGCTATCATACACACGTTGTTTATGCTACAATACGTGCTATCATACACACGTTGTTTATGCTACAATACGTGCTATCATACACACGTTGTTTATGCTACAGGACGTGCTATCATACACACGTTGTTTATGCTGCAGGACGTGCTATCATACACGCGTTGTTTATGCTACAGGACGTGCTAGATTCCCTTCAGGCGAAGCTGTCCGTGATGAGGACGGAACATTTCTCACTAGTGCTGCAACACCGCAAACACTTTCATCGCAGCAAGCTGAGCATCCTGCCACTGTCGGAGACCCTCTCTCGCGTGAGTACACACCCCTTCATTCCCTAGCTCCCTCCTTCATCCTTCCTCTGTGCTCCCTCCCTCCTTCCTCTCTGCTCCATCCTTCATCCTTCCTCTCTGCTTCCCTCCCTCCTTCCTCTCTGCTTCCCTCCCTCCTTCCTTCCCTAGTTCCATCCTTCATCCTTCCTCTCTGCTCCCTCCCTCCTTCCTCTCTGCTTCCCTCCCTCCTTCCTTCCCTAGTTCAATCCTTCATCCTTCCACTCTGCTCCCTTCCTCCTTCCTCTCTGCTCCCTCCTTCATCCTTTCTCTCTGCTTCTCTCCCTCCTTCCTCTCTGATTCCCTCCCTGCTTCCTCTCTGCTTCCCTCCCTCTTTCCTCTCTGCTTCCCTCCCTCCTTCCTTCCCTAGTTCCATCCTTCATCCTTCCTCTCTGCTCCCTCCCTCCTTCCTCTCTGCTTCCCTCCCTCCTTCATTC